GTTTTTTACTATTTGCACTGTCTTTTTAACTTGTCACTGGCTTTTGAGCTAAGTATGCAATTAGTTTTTTGCTGTTAATTGTTTTTAATTTTCCAAATACTTAACGTTTTTGACCTGTTATTATCTATGTGTGTATTGTCTTGATTTTTATTATTGTCTGTTGTTTGTTGTTTTATATTTTCCGTGCTGACTCTGTAATTGGCCTCCGCTGTTGAGCTCGGCACGTAAATAAATAAAGCATTGAATTGAATTGAATTGAATTATCATCATTTATTATAATTTGGCATACCATTTCTGTATTATTATATTCTTATTACTATTTAGTTTTAGTATTAATATTAATCTTTGACTTGTCCCATATCATGTATAATGATTCATGGATGAAATAAAATTGAATTGAATTGAAATATATTTCTTGCCCTTTGTACATTTTGATTAGTTGTGGGAGGTCTTCCCACTGTAAGTTCAATTCATTCATGTTTCATTGTCTTCACTATTATCTTGTGTATTTGTTCAAACTGTGTTTTGTGACACTGTTGTGCAATACTGTGTTTTTGATCAAAATGTGTTTTGTGACACCGCTGTTATGCAATACTGTGTTTTACTTTACGTTTTGACTTCTAACAACTGCAGACTTAATACGAAACACAACAGCAAATTTACATACCATCTGTGGCAACTCACAGTACAGTCAAGCAATCACAAGCTCAACTCACTCTGAAAGCTATTTGATATTGTGACAAGTCTTGAGGATGTCAGGAACATCATTATTGCATGAAAATAAAATTACTTTTTAATGATATCTCCTTTACCAAGTAAATGTCTTTAACTGTACAGCAACACCATAAAAGTAACTTTCAGAAGGAATAATCTTGACAAAGGATTATGTACTGAGATTCACTCACCCTTCTTACAGCAAGTGTCACGTAACTTCGAACAAGGCCAAGAGTAACCTTGAGTGCGCAGAAGAAAAATTTCAGACAAGGGGGTGGGTTCAAGGGTGTGAGAAGTGACAGGCGGCCAGTTGTTTGTAAGGCACCCTCAAAGCAGGTTGTACTTACGGTTTTTCTATCATCTGTTTAAAAACGTCAGTTTCCTTGTGTGCTAAATCGTACATAACGAGTAAGAAATTAGATCAGGGTATAGGTATAAATTATAAAGCATAAATTAGTAATACACATTAAATGTATTTTTCTTTGCATGACGAGTGACAATATATCTGTATTATTGTAATGTGTTCTTTGAAAAGAGAATAGGGTAGGTTCAATGATACACAAGAGGTCGGTGAAAGTGGAAGAACAAGTGTTAAGAAACTCCGCCCACCACAAGCTATACGCGGGATTTGACTAGAAATGCAGGGCCTTGTTCGAAGTTACTTGACACTGTCTATATCACAATAACAGACATGGAGATGTGACTCATGACAAACCCCTGGTTTCCATGTCATGCATACAGGCAGATGATCAGTCAGATTTGTGAGAGCAGAGAGAAAGCAGTAACCTATGATCTCTTTTGTGGAGCCTTTATAAAGAATTCTATCTACCCTTCTTCTACCACCACAAGGTAAGGGTTCAACATAACCTGCTGGACCTGGCTGTGCTGTTGATGTCATTAGGTGCATAGAATGTACCTGTGGACCAAAATGAACGTTTAGTTTCAAAACACGTGAAAATCATGATCTTTAGGACATAACACTATGCAGTTGGTATGTAGGTGGCAGCAGGTTCCTTTGAAATGTTGATAATAATCTGGCTATATTGTTATATCCCAATGACAGTAATCTTCAGCCAGAGCCAAAAGTACCTCAAATATTTCACAATAATCCTTCGTAGGGTATTCTACACCCTCTTCTGCCCTGGAGATGGAAGCAGCAAGTCTCTCCAAAATCTTGGTAATGATCTGCCACAATACATGGCATAACATTCATGAAGGCATTATCTTCAAATTATATACATAAAAAAATAAATGTATAGCTCATTTCTTGGTTTATCTAATGAGGATGTGAGCGAAGGTCTGAACTCAGAACTTTCAAAATGCACGAATGCTAATAACACAGTGTGTCAATCAGTAAATAAAAAGGGGTGTCAAATATTTTTATTCTTCGGCATCAATACCTCCAGGACTCACCAAAACATCTGCATCCAAGACATACAGCCTTCTTAAGGAATCATTCACTAGTATTTTTCTGAAATTGGCAGGTTTCTGGATATCCGGCTGGTATAATGCACACTGCCGCAGTTCAGTACCAATTGCCCAGTCCACGTCCTGTCCTGCCCTCACGACACAGACGTCCTGATATTCTCCAAACAGTGAATGCTGTTGCACGTCCATATCGGCTAGGAAATTTAGAAACAAACCAAAATATCAAAATTACTATTGTCTGACATGTGAAGCTGTGCACTCTGACAGGAACTCACTGATGCTTCACATGAATGTAGTGCCTCCATCTTCAGGATCAAACATGCACCTTCTTTGGCAGAACATTCCTCTGAAATGCCAGTGAATGTCTACTGGACTAAATGGTATCACATCGCAGAGGACATTACTCTTTTAACAGTCACAGCTGTGAGAACCTCTGATCCAACAAACCAGATGTAATTTAGCTCAACAAACACTTATTAACACTTAATATTTAAAATCTTGAATTGCTCAGGTTTGAGTCTCCATGCCTCTTCTGCAAAAATGAGAGATCCTTAACGAATCATATAAAAAAGGGGGAAACGCTGCCTGGACCTCAGAGGATGGCAAATAACACCCCAATATCCTGTTTTCACAGAAGTGGCACGGAGACACAAACCTGAGCAGTTCAAGATTTTAAATATTAAGAACATTAATAATATATTTTTAATTCAAACACTTTTAACTTAATTAAATATCTTTATACAAAATTTTAAGCTTATGTACTATGATCTATGTAATAGTAGTTCTTTAACATGTTGTTATTGCCTTCCGAAGATGGTCACAACTGACCGAAACATGTAAAGGCATTATATAAATATATACTGAGTGACACTAGACAGTGTTGTCAAATCATTTTATAATACTTAACTAGTGTGATGGACCAGAATGAATAAAGTTAAACTTGTTTTACAATGAATTTTATTTTTAAGAAGCTGCAACAGCAAAGGAAACATGAGAAAGGGTATACATTATTTTTGTTGTTATTAAAGCTATTAGAGTTATTTCAGCCATACAGTTCATTCCTCAGGAGAAGAGCTGCAAACCAGCCAGACACGGTTAACTTGCTACTGGTATGGAGGAAGACACATAATGACTTTGACCAAAATTTCAGACTGCATAATAATATAATATATATAACCCTAAAAAATTGGGGGGAAAATAAAACAGTGCAAGTCAAACACCAAACCTGAGCAATTAACCAACAAGCAAGTAAATCTAACCTTCAAATATCTAAAGACATCATAGACAGATCAATACCAACTATAGTTAACGGTGTGACTAGGGTCAAGAAATGTGGAAAATCAAATCAACAGCACAATGATCACATCGAAGATAACATAAATGAAGTGCAAAAACTTAAGAAACACAGAGTCCTGATATTCGGGGATAGTCATGTGAGAGGATGTTCAGACCTAATAAATATGAAGTTGAATAAAGTGTTTGGTGTCAGTGGAATTGTGAAACCAGGAGCTAAATCCAGAGACATCCTAAATACCAACAATGAGAAAAGCACGTCAAAGGGTGATGTTATAATAGTGTGCGCTGGCAACGACATTAGCAAGAACAGTGCTAAGGAAGGAATAAGTAGCATAATTAGCTTTGTAAAAAGACCAGTCACACCAACATTATTGTAATGGAAGCTCTACACAGACATGACCTGGCCGACTGGTCATGTGTCAACCGTACGATTCAACAGACTTCTAACAAAAAGGCTAAAATTACATAAACACGTGACAATCAGTAGGGTAAATCTAAACAGACATCATTTCACAAACCACAGCCAGCACATGAACTACAAAGGAAAAGAAAAGATGTGTCAACAGATAGCAGAATTGGTACAACGAAGGGTGAAGGGTCGGAGCAAGAACAAAAAATGCTATACCACTAGAATACAAGGAGGGAACCGTGCATGAAGAGGCCACATCAGGAAAACACAAGGAGGAAACTGTCCATGAAGAGACTTCAGAAAGCCAAGGGAATGAAGCAGATGAAACATTAGTCGACCCATCCCCCAACAGTGTGGCACCACTGGAAGGAAAGCAACATCAGGAAATTCAGATGTCAACTCGGAAAACGAAGCTCCCAAAAAAGCTGAGTAAAGATTTTTTATAGATAAGAATAGTACTGGTACTCTCAAGAATACTAATAAAATAGGTTCAACCATCCAGTTATTACATCAAAATGTTCAAAGTCTAAACAAGAAGAAGCTGAATATAGATGTGCTATTATCAAACAAAACGTCAGAATCGGATATACTCTGTATCACTGAACATTGGTTGGATGAAAGAGAAATAGATTATTATAACTTCGAAAACTATTCCTTGATATCAAAATCCTGTAGGAAAAATAAATTGCATGGAGGCTCATGCATTTATGTTAAAACAAATCTAGATGCAAAACCCTGTAACCTGTTTAAAAGCTTAAATCAAGAAGAACACTTTGAGGCCAGCTTAACTGAACTTATACAATTTAATACTATCATAATCTGTATTGTAACTTTACTCTCTTATTGTAATCAGCCAATGTACAGCAGCTGACTTGTCCTATATCAAGTAATAATGATCTATAGAGACAAAATAAATAAATAATGCTTTAACTCACATCTACATGGATCTCTACTTATTAGCTTATCACTTGTCAGTGATTCATTTCTTACACAAAGTGAAAGAAGGTCTTCTTGTGGGTAACACTCATCTCAACCCCCCACCCACCTACACAGTGTGGTGCTTTATTAAGAAACTTTTGATCTGTATTCACTACTGGTTTCGGGGACGCAGTAGTGTAGCTGGTTGAGGCACTAGGCTACAAGCTGGAAGGTTGCAGGTTCAATTCCCTGGATTTTCAATTGACCTAATCCTTCCAGCCACACAATGGTCCTGGGGTTGACTCAGAGTCTAACAGAAATGAGTACCAGGAATCTACCTGGGAGTAAAGGGTGGCCGGCACATAAGGCCGACAACCTCGCCACCATCTGTGAGCCGAATGTCTAGATAATGTGGAAGCCTCAATGTCATACAACCCTATGGTCCTCCACGGCCTGTTACGGGGATAGCTTTACACTTTTTTTATTCACTACTGATTTACAGAAAAAGTGTACAGAATCTACATTACAGTCTAGCGGGTGAAAACAGGAATGGGATATCCAGCTCCATACAGATGATATTACTGGAAGAAAATCCATTGAGGATGATAACATTTTCATAAAGAAGAATTGCTCACAGCTATAATAATAAAATTAACTTACCTGGAGACATATTATCAGCATTGAAATCACCACAAATAATATCAAAGTCAATTATTTCTTCAGACAATGTATTTTGCTCCTTGAATAGGGATACAAATATCAAAATATCTGTAAGCTGTGATAACAGGACAACTTCAGACCCTTGAAATGCTTGTGTGTGTGTATTAGCAATATAACCAACATGGGGATTGCCATCTTCATCAAAATGCAACAGCACCTGTAAGAAGATAATTGATTTATTAATAATTGCTTATTCATTACTCGTCTCATTTACTATGAAGCGAGAATAATTGTAACCGCTGTATAAGGAGTAAAGTGAGTTATTTGATAAACAGACATATAGACTTTGACAGCCAAATTTATTAAAGAAAAGAATTAGAGAAAATGACAAAATTACATTAAGAAATTTGATAAATATCTTGCAGTTAAATTTAGGGTCATGTTAGGAATCTCAGTATTCCCTGTAGAACAGTATTTTATTGCATAATGGATGCAGAGACTGCACGAACATTATCATGGTAGTCTGTGATCTCCAAGTGGGGGTAAGATGAAGAAGATTTACAACCTATTATGTTGCCATGACGTTTCTTATATTGTGGTATTTCCTTGATTCTACATCATCAATTGTAAGGTGTACCCTTGATTTAGTAATATGTTTTCTATGGGGACAAGTGTGTGTGTGTGTGTGCATATTACAATAGGAACTTCTTGCAGTCTTCTTCCTAGTGGCTGAAACCCATGCTGCAAGTTTTAAAGCAGACAACCTCTTGATCTTACTAGATGACATTAATGGAGAGTTTTCAGGTAACAACAAAGTCTCATATTCCTTTCATAAATGATCTTTAAATGGTTTATTAATCACCGTCACGCATAAAATTTTAAAAAATGGAAATACAGAGAAATGTTTTTAGAATCTCCTTTGTCGCCAGCTTTGTGTCATGACTAGTGTTATGGATATGAATATTTTCCTTGTGCTTTAGTCATAAAACATAATTTTTATACTGATTCTTATGTGCCATCATATGTAAGACCCACCCTGAGGCTCAAATGAAGATGTGGCGACAGTGCTAGTCTTTTGCCTACTCCCGGGCTTGCTATATTGCACTCAGGTGGAGCCTGGGATCATTATATCCCAGTGGGGTTGTAATTTACTTTACTTTCTTTACTTAGATTTAATTACTAAACTACAGTGGCAAATTTCTGTCTTTATTTTCTCAAGGGCGACTGAAACCAAAAATGATTCTATCTGCAGTGACATTATGAAATTTATTTTTCCTGCCCAATACTACAACTCTCCTATAAATAACCTTATGGAGGCTGTAAAAAGTTATATGTTGAATAGTTTTAAGTGGGAGACAAATGACATCTGACCTTGACACACAGTACTCCTTGAGATGTAAATTTCGCATGTTTAGTTCGACGTGTGAAGATATTAAAATCAGCATTAAGAATGGGTTTCTTGCTTGCAAAAAATAACCCGCTTCCTGGAAAGAAATACAGAAGTAACATGGGTACTGTAACCTTACATCACAACACACACAATAAAATTTAATTTTTTTTTTCTTTTCCTTGGCACTACAGCTCCAGTGGGCCTAGGCCTACCTCCATGAACTTCTCCGTTCACTTCAGTTTTTCTAGATCTTACATATTTGGTAGGACTCCTTGGGTGGGTCATCAGCTCATCCCAAGGCCTCTACCTGTACACAAATACAGAAAAATGCACATGCACACACACACAAACTAAACATCTATGCCCTGAGTTGGATTCGAACCCACGATCCTGGTTTCCAAGCGAGCAAAGACAGCATTTAAATATTTTACTTACATTAATTTTTGACAGATATACATGCAACATATCACACATAAAACAAATTAAGGGTCCAAGAAATATAACACTCACCAAGCATGCAGAAATTTTTGTTGAAGGAGTAATCTCCAATGTCATAAAGAAAATACAAGAATTCTTCCTTTAATTGTTCAATTAACACCAATGCATACGAACGTTCCCAAACTTCTTGCAAACAGAGGAAATCAAGGCATGGAAACTCAGTTAATATGCTGTTGCACTTGGTATTTATCTCAAATTCATCTTTCCCCATCAAATTGCAAAGAGGTTTTCCTGTGTGATTCAGGATTTGTTCTGCTATTTTTGATGCTCGACCATATGAGCACTTGTTATTGTTTAGTCTAGCAATGGCTTCTGGTGCCAGAAGTACATTTGCTGATGCCATAGTATATGTCCCCAAATTCTTCAATCCATCTTCTATATTGTCTAGTGTACTTTCATCAACACATACGTATGTATATTTCTCCTGGTTTGTAACTGCACATAAAATTAACCAAACCACTATTCCAAACAGTCCAACGGGCAGCAATAACACAACAAGAAGGGCATATAATGGGCCAAAAATAAAATAATCTAACAGCTTAATCTGTGGATGTAGTTTCTCAAAAATCGTTGAAATGTAGCATGAAAAGAAACGACTACAAACTGTTAGCCATGGGTTCATGAGGAGAAAAGACATCTCATCTAACCATTTCGCTATAACGTTACAATATCGATTTGAGATGTACATTATGAACACACGAAATATATGTGATATTCATGTAATATACGACAACATGCCTTTAATTCCTGAACAACTCCGAACCGTCAACAATCATCGATATTCACTACCCCTTAAAACTAACACCTTTGAACCTCTGACCGGCTCTGACACTTTCTGCCGCTTTCCGCTTGCTACGCTTGCTATCAGGAAATCAGGAACGCCAACATTTAAACTACGATATGAAAGATGTGAAACGTTATTGTGTAGGTGTTTGTTATAACTGGTGAATGAATTTTCAAATTAAGTGTATACGGAATTAAACATCGGCCGAAATAGCAGTAATTACACCTCTAGGATCATTAGGTACTAATAGCAGTCAAAATGTGTTCTTCAGCCGCAGCATTAAATGAGCGACATTCGATTGAAACGTGCTGTATATTGTGATGTTTTGTGGTGTGGTGATGGACGAACAAAATAAGAAGGAGAAGTGATAAAATAAAATATGAAATAATGGTAAATAAGAACACGGAATGCCAGGTTTTATTGGCATTCACCTAGGTGAGGTTTAAGAAGCTTTTACGCAGACTTGGAAAAGCCTATTTCTTCACCCTTCCGCTTAAGTGTGTGCACATTTACCATTTGACGTTAATGGGACTTGGCCGAATTTTAATGTAGCTTTACAGTAAAATAAAAAAAAACATTTACATCTTAAGGAGGTACTCGAGGTACATTATTTCGTAATTTAAATATCCCCCCATCAGCGAACTTATAAGAATAATAATGTCCTGCATGCAGAGGACCACTAATAACTTTTATTTAGATTACAGTATTTGTAATACGTAGGTTGTCTGTTGCATAGTAGTTATCATTAAAGCTTCTTCTCATATTTAAAAATTCAAAAACCTTTTTCCAGTCCCATCCTGAGCATTTTGGCTTTCTGGTATTCTTCCCTTATTTTCCACTTTAGTAATTATTGATGTATTCTTTGGCTCTCCAGTCTTACCATACTGATCTGCACTGCCCCCAAGGTGTATGGTAGCCCTCACAAGGCATCACATCAGATCCTTGGTTTTGAAGTTGAGGGCCCTTTCACTAGCCTGTCATGGGTTACAGAGTAAGGAAGTTAGATTTGGTACCAAAAGTAATTTCTCTCATATTGGTTGATTGATTGATTTATTTTGTCACTGTAGATCATTGTACATGATATATGACAAGTCAAGTTAATTCTGAATATTAACAATTTGATATATAAGTAGATTAAAATTACAATAGTTACAATTTTTTACTACTGATTACAATTTAGAATTAGTTAAATATTCTTACTTGTGGAGAGTTTGATGGAATGAACATTACCCTGTTTCTTCTTAATTAGACATTTATCTTCTACTGGATCAAGAGTGTTAACTTCTGGCCACAATTTTATGATAAATATATATATTGTGTGTGGTCCATTTAGGTGCTGGTCAGCATTCAGAAACATTATGGCCAGATTACAAGAAGCTGTGTCACAGGGCATGTAAGAAGGTAAGTAAGAATATGCAAACAGCATCAATAGGTATTTACTTGTTAAAAAGAGAGCTGAACAGTGAATATTCTATTCCTGACAGCAGTATTTGAGTAAATTTCTCACTGCCCATTTCATGAAGGTCAGTATTGGTCCCCATTCATACTGTCTAATATGTAATGGAGGACAAGGATGGAGAAAGTGTGAAGCAGCCAACCTATTTTTCACATAGGGCAAGAATGAGAATGTGTACAGTTTTACCTCAGCCTTTATGGTGGGGTGCTGATCACAAAGTGTATTTTACCAAAAGATCATGATCTGAGATCTGATGCCATGTAGTATGTGGATAAGTCAGGGTTGACCACAAAGATGTGAGCAGTGCAGTTTTTGAAATGTTGGTATCTTTTTACCACACTACATGGTGTCAAATCCTAGAGGATTGTAATTGCAATATTCAATGCTGTGAGAACCTGAAATCTCTTGGTTTTACCTTATGGATTGATGAATGGCACAGGAAAATGAATTGGCTAAAACTATGCCAGTTCCACTTTTTCTACCACAAATCCCATGTGGACTGTCCTGCAGTGTCTAACAGGCAAATAACTATGATTGTCATGATTCATTTGTTTAATCAAATTAATTCTGAAGTATGAAAAAGTTAAATAGTTCCGTTCAGTATTTCAATATTTAATTTCAACGTATTTAAATATTAATTGCTTAAGACAGTTGATCTGAAGTTATTCTTTTTCAAATTCTAAGATATACATATTAGCTTAAAATAAATAAATTTTCTCTGTGTCATTTTTTAATACCATATTTTTTGCTACAAATTATTTATGTTTCCTCTCACGTAGGGGTATTCGCTTTTGGCTTCAGGGGCCACAGCTCTGGAAACTGTTACAGATGTGACAGCACTCTTAGAGAATTCCCCTCTAACCAATGCTGGATATGGTTCCAACTTAACGTGGGATGGACATGTAGAATGTGACGCTAGTGTGATGGATGGTAGCACACTACATTTTGGGGCAGTTGGAGCTGTGCCTGGTGTGAAGAACCCAGTGAAACTTGCTCAACATATCTGTAAGAAGCAGCGCTGTAATGCACTTGCACTGGGAAGAATACCTCCTTGGTCAGTCCCTTTATCTACAATTCATTATTTTGCAATTCACATCTGGAAGGACTGTGGTTCTGACTGGAGTTACAGGAATGTTTCTGAGTCCCTGCTGTAACCGTAACATAATGGCTCCCAGATTTGGTGTTTTATGTAGAAGCTCATTTAATATTTATATAGAAATGTAAATTTCTTTCAGTTTCTGTTTGTTTCCTACTGCAGATCTAACATGGAACAAACAAAGATATAAAGTTCAGCTGGAGCAATTAACAAATGTTGTGGTAGAGTTTTTGAATGAGTTTTGAATCTTCATGCACAGGTTTTGTTTTTATTGATATACAAATAAATCGAGTGGTAACTGCCTGAGCTGTGAACTACAATCAGCCCCCCCCCCACGGACCCCTTATTTAAGTTCGTAAGATGTCACTAGTGGAAACCAAAAATTTTCTGTTTATGAAGGATTATTTTGTTGAAAAAACATCATTAATTGATTTTAATATTTTAGTTTGTTGGTTGGGAATGGAGCACACCAATGGGCTGAGCAAGCACAGTTGGCTACTGTCCATTCCAAGTCCCTTATATCAGGTGTGTAATGCCATAATTTGTGCATTAGCATTTAAGAATGTTAAAAAATATGTAAGTAAAGAGTTATGTATGTTTGACATAATGTTAAGTACCATTTAGGAGTATTTGAAACTAACTTCTACATTTGTACATAATTCTTATAATTGCAGATAAGGCATTAAAACTTTACCGACATTATAAGAAGAAAGTGGAAAGATACGAACTGCGCATTGACAAGGTTTGTAATTGACTTGTGGCATAACAAATACTGCAATCTATGAATAGCATAACAAATCTGGTATGTGTACATATATAAGTACCTCAAAACCTGGATGTGATTAGATTATACATGCAAATTGCAAGGACAGTGGTGACAGAGAGATCAACAGGAGAGGGAGAGGAGGTGGAAACCATTCTTGGCCAGTGGGAGCATTGAACAGAAAATGTGAGAGAAACAGCTCTTGTGCCTCCAAAAGAGTGACATCCACCAACACGTGGTTAATAATCTAGAAGACCACAACTGAAAAATCACTGCTGTGAGAACATCAAAACTTATATAAGCATAAAATAACAGTATCTAAGAAAAGCTTTGTTTTTATACCTATAGATAATTTGTTATGTTTTTCTTAACTCATGCTGATAGTTTCTTTTGTGTGTTGGATCTGGTGTCTGGAGATAGGGATTAGCTGTGTCAGTGGGGCCAAACTGATAGGCTTTTTACCTGAGGATGCAGCACTTTTCGAAACGTTTTTAAATAAAAACAGGATGGTGGATAATGCCCAAAACATCAATAATTTTATAAGTATTCCATAATCACAAACTTTATCATCTTATTTCCATTACCATTGGAACTTGTAATTTTCAGATTTTGACGCCCCTGGACACAATAGGAGCTGTTTGTGTGGATGCGTGTGGCAACCTGGCTGCAGCATGTTCTAGTGGAGGGGTGGCTCTGAAGCACCCTGGTAGGGTGGGGCAGGTGCGTTTGTTCTGTTCATGTGATCATTTGTTCGCTTTATGGGTGATATGAACCTACATAGTCCAGTTTAGATACTGTTCGACAAAATGCCCCCATCATCAAGAAGCCCATGTCATTAAACGTGACATGTCCGTCATCCTTATTTTACATGCATTTGTACTTATTTATTTGTATTTTATTTAAGTGCACTCAGTATTATTATCATTATTAGACGGGGTGGTTTTCCCCATGCACTGAGACCAGTTATTGGTCCATTGTGCATCCCCCTTTAATTTCTACTGTCGCCATCTACCGGTACTGGTGCGTGATATCAGCCCCGTTCAGACAACAAGGTCGGCCATCGGTACCTGATATTTCCCCCCCTCTACCAGAGGCATTGAAAACTACTTGGGTGGGAAATTGTTGCCTAATTTTGCTCAGAGGTCTCCTAGAGACATGAGGATCTTTTACGTGCTGTAAATCTACGACACGGGACCCACGGCTTAAAGTCCCTCCCGGAGGACTTGTTCCCTGACTTTTTCTGCCCTTAAAAATTCCACGACCTCCGCTGGGTTTGAACCCGCGTACCTTGAGTCATGAGGTGGGAACATTACTCCTAGACTACGGAGGCCGCTAAGTGCACTCAGTAACTTGGACAGTATAGTGACAAACAATTGGACGCTTGTAAGTACTGAATTGGAGAGGATGTAGAAGGAAGTGGCTGTGCCCAAATTCAAGGTACTCTACTGGCATGTGTTTGGAGGGACTGAGGAAAAGCATGAGGAATCTCAGTCAGGAGTTGGTGTCCCATTCAAAATGTGAACTTTCCTGGTATACTACCTGCATTTGCATAGACATTTACAAATAGTTTATATATGCATTCATATTAAGTTCTGCATAAGAATAATCCTTGATTCTAATGCATAAAATGCTAATGATAGCATAAAACAGAGGCAGAATATTTCACTGTAACTGACATTGGTAACTCTGTTAAGGTCCTGTGGATCCAGCCACAAATATGCAAAGCAAGTAATTCTTGAAATGCAACAGAGATTCAGTCCTGAAAATGTGCTTCAGTCTTGGACAATTTAATATCCGGTGCTATTTTATTAGATTTATGGTTGGGTGATGTGTCTCATCGTCTTAGGGGAAAATTACCAAGTTTCCAAGCAAACATGAAACCTAAGCATGACCTTCCCACTTTTCAACACACTTTAAAGAACTTGATAAATGATACAAACTCCGTCCTAAGTGCAAACAATATATATTATATGTCTTTGATCTTGTTCTTTCTACACTACATGTTTCGGCCTCTATCGGCCATCATCAGGTGTATACTCTTAACGTTGCTGCCACACTGAACCCAGTCTAAAATTTAACATTTAAAAACACAATGTCACATTCTTCGTATTATCAACATCTACATCGTTGATATGTGTCTGGTATGTAGATATTGTGTTGCACACGTCAAATTTGATATTCTTGTAGTAGCACTCTAAAAATGTTTAGTTATGATGTTTTTAAAACCTTTTAAAATTTTCTCAATATCAAATTTGACGTGTGCAACACAATATCTACATACCAGACACATATCAACGATGTAGATGTTGATAATACGAAGAATGTGACATTGTGTTTTTAAATGTTAAATTTTAGACTGGGTTCAGTGTGGCAGCAATGTTAAGAGTATACACCTGATGATGGCCGATAGAGGCCGAAACATGTAGTGTAGAAAGAACAAGATCAAAGACATATAATATATATTGTTTGCACTTAGGACAGAGTTTGTATCATTTATCGTGTAGAGTGCAACAGGATGCTTAAATATAATATTTTAAAGAACTTGCTTGGAGACTGAACTTTGCTTGATGCCATGTGAACACTTAAAATTCTTTAATAGAGAATTTACACAAAAGCCCTGAACCAAAATGTCAGTGTATAACTGTTGAATCCTCGCCTTAGTCAAATACTGAACAGTTGAATCTCCTGAGTTTCTAGTAACAATTAAAATTCCAAAGGAAAAAAGATAACATGAGAGAGAGAGAGAGAGAGAGACATGACTTTTGTCAGGGACCTATGTGAAGTCTAATCTGCCTCAGTACATGTTCTCCTTATCTGTCAGGCTGCCACTTATGGATGTGGATGTTGGGCAGCTAATGCAACATTTCATGTACCAGCAGCCATTGCAACATGCACATCTGGTTGTGGGGAGCACCTTGTGCGCACCATGCTGGCTCGAGAAGCAGCTCTTGAAGTTCAGAGAAGCAGCTGTACTGTCACAGGACTTCACCATGCCATGAAAACAAAATTTTTGGGTAAAGCATGAATATGCCTTGATATTAGATGCTGCTCAGAGCCACGCCTTCTGCCTTGATCTGTTTTCATGCTGATATTACTCAGTCCACAGAGGAGTTTTATAATTTATATCAGTCACAGATTTAACATAAAAACCATATGCTAAAGTTATAACCTTCAGTATCATAGCTACTGGAGGACTGATGTGATTCCAAGTAACTTTCCTGACACTGCTGTTTACAGAATCTCCATTCCTTAGTGGTGTTGAAGAGAGACTTGGAGGATTGATTCTTCTCAAATGCATCCCTAGTGATGGAACTGGAGAATTCCTGTGGACACATTCTTCAAAAACAATGTGTATTAGTTATATGAGCGATGCAGAACGGAGACCGAGGGTACTGTATTCAATTGACTCATGTATTTTATAACTGTTCTCTTCCTAACTGTGGACATGAAGAAATGAACTACAGAGTTAACTAGTAAACTAAGTCCATGGAGCTGAGTCCTTGAGAAACCAACAGTTGCTCAGCCACTCAAGAAATTCCCAGCATTTTATGAAACTCAAAGGCTCATTACTACATTCACAAGAGCTTGCCACTGTTCCCTGACCTTAGCCAGATTAATCCAATCCACACCCCATTCCTGTTTCTCTAACATCCATTTTAATATTATCCCATCATCTATATGAGGGTCTTCATATTGGTGTCTCTCCTTCAGGTTTCCCTACCAGAACTTCATACTCACATTTCCTTCCTCCCATCCATGGTACATGCCATGCCTATCTCAGCTTCCTTGATTGATCATTTTAGTATCTTTGAAGAGTACATGTTATGAACGTCCTCATTGTGCAGTTTTTACCACCTTCCTATTATTTCAGCCCCCATAGGTCTGAATGCTTTTCTGAGAACCTTGTTCTCAAACACCTTAAGTCTATGTTCTTCCCTTAATATGAGAATCACAGTTTCACATCCATACAAAACTACGGGAAAAATTATAGTTTTGTATATTATAATCTTTAGGTCTTCAGATAGTAGGCAAGAAGATAACCCACTATTCACATTTGATATGTCTATTTACTTACATTTTATTTAATCATTCGACCACCTATGTGGTCTAGTGGTCAAGAGTTCTGGCTCCAGATTCAGAGGTCCCAAGTTTGATTCCAGGTGCTACCAGATTTTCTGAGAAGTAGTGGGTCTGCAACGGGGTTCACTCAGCCTCGTGAGGATAACTGAGGAGCTACTTGAATGGGAAAGTATCAGCTCCAGTCTAGAAAACCAAAATTAATGGCCGTGGGGATTCGCTGCGCTGACCACAGGACACCCTCTATCTGCTAAAGTTGGCACTAACTTCACAGACAAGTGACGGTCACTCAGTTGGTATAGTTTGCTTGCGGACTAAAACCACGGAGTTTTTAATGATTCAAAAGTTGAGAAAACCCTCAGTCAGGATAGCCAGTCTCTGGGTCAAGATATGAATGTAGAGCGGGAGTACTAAACAATCAGCTGCAGCACTTGGGTTGATTCATATGGGTCCAGCAATTTGAAATAATTAGAAAGTCCATATTATTGTTTCAAGAATAAAATTAGCCATGTTTTCAATGTGTTGTACAATATAAATGGTTTAATGAATATGTCATAATGGATTTTTTCAGACCCGTTTGTCAGAGCTGCCAAACGGAGCAGTTCCCGGTAGCACTCTGGTGGTAGAAGGTGCAACATTCAAGCTAAATCCCTTGGTAGAGAGAGCTGAAATTGGTATATATTCATGATAGTGAACTGTGCTTTGGAGATGTGACATCAACATTTCCAGTGGACATCCCTGTTTTCAAATACAATATCAGAAATGTTAGTGTAAATATAAAGACTCCATAATAAACTTATAAATGTGAACAGTGTGTGTTTATAGAATTAAGGCTGTTGAGTGAATTGTTTTAGGATAATAAAACTCAGAAAATATAAATAGTAGTATGTCCTGGGATATGATGCCATATAGTGTGTTAGAAGTTCATTGATGTTTCAGAAAAACATACTGCCTCTGTCTTCAGGGTCAGAGTGTGGGCCATGCAAGCAAGCAAGCATATCACGCTTACAATCTAAACATTTATATACTAACCTTATTCAATGTCTGCAGAAGAAAATAAATCCTGAATGGGGAAAAACCTGGGAACACCCTGTAGCCACACTTGACACAATTGACTTGGATTCATTTGCAGCAGGTATTATGGTAGTTAAACATTCATGTGGCAGAATTGAAAACAATATAATTAGATGTAGAAATTCAAACACCTCAATTTAAAAAATGCAAATATTAAATAAAGTATACAGAACTGTAATTTTCCTGTTGTTTTAAATCTCTCATTCCAGAGGGGGAAAACTGAGGTGGAAGAATCCAGAAGTGAAACAGAAAGGAGAATTTCAGGATCTCTAATAAGGAGAACATTACAGTAAAGAACTTCATGGTTCGTATGTGATACTGGGTACTGAAACCCAATGAAAGGAGGTCCCAAGGGAGATCATGATATAAATGGGGATACTTGGAGGCTAACATTGAAATGGATTGTAAGGAAATAGTTCAGAAGAATTTTTAATGGCTGGGCTGTTGATGGTGACCATAGGATTTCAACAAGGAAACCTGTAATGTTTAAGCAAGTAGTGACAGCTTAAAGAAGGCACTGCATCCTGAATATCACTATCTGAAGATCTGATTGCTTGTATGAGATTTGAACATTTACAATGTGTCTTATGGGTTATGACATTGTAGCTACAGCAGTTCATTGAAGGACTTATACCCTGACAACAGAGGCAGTATGTTTTTTTTTTTTCAAAACTTTGGTAATCACCTACCACACTAAAAGTGTCACAACCCAGAAGACCACAATCCCAATTTAATGTATGTATTTCATTTTCAATGACTGGGAACTTGTAAGCATGATGAAATAAAATATTTATGAATGAAAGAAATCTGTTTACAAACAGCAATTGACACAGAAGTGTACAAATTTAATATATAAAACTACAAAAACTGGAAGCAACATTGGAACATTTTAGCTTGCTTTTATACATTGACATTCATTAGTACCATGTTTACGATAAAGCTGTCCCTCTGCTTAATTAATTAAACACTACACCATGAAGATATATGGACGACCCAAGGTATAGTTCCACCATTCTTGACCTTGACACAAGATGATGTGAATGGTCAGCTTCACGACCCGGCCACTTTACCCCTGGGGAAAGAGCCCCCAGTACCCACCAAACCCTAGCCATCCAGGTTGTAGTCCATCACTATACAGACTGAGCTGTCCCAGAGGAGTACCATATTGAAGCCAAACATAATGGCCAGGTGGCTAGGTCAGCACTGGTACCAGAAACATATTCACAAGGCAACCCACAACAGTGGAACTGACAACACATAGTAACTTACTCTCTATACTCACAAGGTTGACCAAATGAATCCCATTAACTTGATCCTGCCAGTCTCTTGATAATCAACCAGACAAGCTCTCTGATGTCTGTAGGACTTGTATGTTTGTTGTTAGGGCCAAGCACCAACTGATGGTGACCTTGTGAAAGACTTCTCTTGCTATATTTCTTCTCCTGGCTCCATTCAGACACGGTGGGATTTTATGTTAATTATGTTAAAATACTTGGCGTAAAAATACAATAGATTAGACAACTCGCTGTTTACATTCCCTACAGAACAGACAATAACAAATATAAATCACTCCGTCCAATGTGACCTGTAAGTTTTTTACTACATGAAAACTTAACACCCTTACATGTTTCGGTCTCTGTGGACCATCTTCAGAGGGCAAACATCACTACAAATAGGAAACCACCATCACATAAGTTGTTTAGACGTAAAGTATGTACACTTATATGCTACAATACATAGTACACAAAATAGAACATTTCACATTGTAGTGATGTTTGCCCTCTGAAGATGGTCCACTGAGACCGAAACATGTAAGGGTGTCAAGTTTTCATGTAGTAAAAAACTTACAGGTCACATTGGACGGAGTGATTTATATTTGTAATTGTTAGTGTGACGGACCAGAATGAAACAAATCGAACAGACAATACTTTGTAAGATGAGGCACCAACTAAATAATTAACATTAATATTACTACATCTACATCACGAGCCTCCAAAACAGTTTATTATATATATATATACACAAAATGTAGAATACTCCAATTTGTCCATGGGAACACAACAAAATCACAAAAACCAACAACTGACTTGATGATGTAAAGCATCGCCTGAAGAATTTTATTCCTGTTTTAGTCTAATTTACTGTATTTTTACGCCAAGTATTTTAATATAATTAATATTACTGAATCCAATTTTACTGGCACTGCAGTTGAGCAGTGTATATATTGTGACGTGGATGGCGTAGCAGGAGGTGGGGGTCGTGTGAACTCTGTGATCTCGCAAGTGACGTCACATACCCTCACTCCGTCCATCAGTGCGCAACGCTCGGTAGACACCCCTTTCCCCGCGGTGACGTGACACGGGACGCCGCAGTTGCTACGTAGCCGTAAACAACTCCCGGCAGCTCTGCCCAGCAACACCTTTGTAAACATGGCGGGGAGTCCATGCAACGACTGTTCCTAGGCAGTCAGTAAAATACGACGTTACGCAACAGTGGTGCCTATTACGTAACTGTTTTCTGTGTTGTCCGTAATGGGGCTAAATAAAGAGCAGCGAACACTATTCGACGGTGAGTTACGAGTTAGCCAGGGAGTCAGCAGTGAGCAGTGAATGAGTGATCAGCAGCTGCCGAAGACAGCTGAAATGTAGCCGTCGCCGGAGACAGATGAATTGGAACAGTCGCCGAGTTCAGTTGTAGCGGAAAGAAGAATATCGAAGCATGTGATTAGAAGTGAGAGCCTGAGAAGCAGATGCTTGGCTCACAAGAGAAGTAATTGGGAATGTGTAATACAGTGACACTTGTATAGCTCCATTTATCGTACTGTGAACACGTGTAGACTACTGAGGACAGTGTGAAGAGATTTGTGTGTAGGGTTTGTAAAGTGTGTAAACCCATAACATTGTTATAATTGTACCCAAGACTTGTAGGCTGTTAAATAAACCAATTAACAATCTGAATGGCGTCCTCAGTGGCAAAAGCATGTTACGCTGGTGTCAGAATTGTCTACGAAGTACGAACTTAAACACACCACAAACAAATTGTTGTGCATCAAGTACTTTACTGCTACAAAATGGAGATGCAGCAGATGATGGAAATGCTGACAAGGATGGACGCCAACATGAAAAACCATCAAGAAGAGATGAAGGCCGATAGGAAAACCGAGAATGAAGAAATGGAGGCAAATATGAAGACAAAGAAGAAATGCTGAAAGAGATGAGGGTAAACCAGGTAAAAGCAGATGCCGACCGAGTGCAGATGCAAGAAATGTTCCGAACCCACCAAGAAGAAATGAAGGCCGATAGGAAAACTGACAGAGGAAATGCTGAAAGAGATGAAGGCCGAGAAGAACGAAATGGAGGCAAATAGAAAAAAAGACAGAGAAGATTTCCTGGCAAAATTAGACGTCAACCAAAAAAAAACCGACATCATGCTGACAAAATTAGACGCCTACCAAGAAAAGGCGGCCGAATAGGAAGGCCAACAAGGAAGAAATGAAGGCCGAAATGCGATCTATGCGGTCAGAGTTGGATGAGACAATCCAACATAGAATTGAAAACATTTTTGCGACCTTTGAATACGACGAACGGATTCTCCAGTCGGAACTAATTGAGAAGATTGAAGTGTCCCTCTGCGCGTGAACAACAAAACTCCAGGAAGACCTAACGAAAAACTACAATGAAACCTGCGCAGCAATTGAGGAGGCCAAATGCGAGTTCCGGGCATGGTTGGACGAGACGAGACAGACGAAGGCCGAGCGGGGAAATACATCAACGATCGTCGCGAGCACAGCTCAGCCACCGACATTCAATGGAAATTCAATGTGGAGCGTGTTCCGGCGACAATTCGAGACCATAGCAGAACACAACCAATGGACGGACAAGGAAAAATCAACATACCTCATCACCGCTCTGAAGGGCCGGGCGGTAGAAGTACTACCCGGCATTCCGACAAATACAACTTACGAGGAAACACTTCAGGCATTGGAGGACCGTTTTGGGGACGAACACTTTGCAGCTGCTTACCGCTGCCAATTACGAACAAGGATGCAGAAACCTGGAGAATCCCTGCAGGACTTTGCCACGGCCATTGAACTGCTTGCCTGTCGTGCCTACCCCATCTACCTGCTGACCACATAGGAAGAGAGGCAGGAAAAGCGTTTCTATATGGAATACGACATGCCGATATAAAGATTCAGCTGCTGCTGGGAGGGGAGAAGATGGTAAACGAGGCCTTCCGACAAGCACTAGAGCTGCAGGCGGTACTGGTAGCATCTAGACCTCACGAAGGTAGCACAAAGACATACCGGAAGTACCGATCGCCCCCCCACCCAACGAAGAGACGGAAGACAATCAGGGTGCTGGAGTTGTGGAAAACTGGGCCACTTCGGGAATAACTGCCCCTACGAAAGGAAGGCTAATAGTGAAATGCTCCGAGAACATGAAGATAGGCCAGGCAGATACACACGGGAATTGCCAAGAAGCCACAACGAACAGACGAACAGGAAGGGTACCCAACCATCGGAAAACGAGCGACGGCCGGCGGAGAAGGGCGAACGCCGGCATATGCGTTAAGGCCCCCACACTACGCACTCACCGACATTACGTAGAAAGCCAACACCAGTCTGGTCACCCAGGGATGGGTCGGTGATAAGCCGTGCGAGGTGAGTGGACACCGGAACATACGTAACGGTAGTGAGACAGGATATCTCCGCCGGATGGCCGGAACGACGGCCAAATCCAGATTTTACGCTGCAGACCGTGTCTGGAGGATCCCTACCCATCCTGAAAGGTGTTGTGTTGAAACTTACCCTGGGGCGCTGACCGATAACAATGTGGGTTTTCATCGCGAATATCACAGATGAGCTCATCTCGGGTCTGGACATACTGTGCGCCTATCATGCTTCTGTGGACATAGGGCGCCAGACTCTGCATCTGGCGGAAGAAGAATATCGTTATGGAGTCCAGGGGCAGGACCCTGCCCTCCCAGCTTAGTAGTGGCAAAGGACCACGTGATACCCGCACAGAGCGAGGGAACAGTGATGGCTAGAATGGAGAAGCAAGAAATGCAACGAATAATCGAAATGCTAGCAATAATTGAGGCGAAAATGGACGCCAACAAGGAAAGAATGGACGCCGACTCGAAAGCCTGGCGAGATAAGACTGCCGCGGAGACGAGAGCAACCCAAGCAAGGACGGCCACCATGCGAGAAATAATGGTCACCAGCCACATGGAGATGGTTGCCGAAACCAAACCAGAAATTGACGTAATGTCGATGGCCTGCCGAGAAACGACGGAGGCGCGTCAAGAAGAAGAAAAGCCGGCCTCAGTGGACACGAAATCTGCGGCGGCACAACAAGAAGAGGTCCCCATTGCGATACCGGTCGTAGATCCTGAAGAAGAAATAACGGATGCCAGAAAAGAGACGATGGCCTGCCAAGAGATGGAGGCACGTCTAGAAGAAAAAGAGCCGACCTCAGTGGACAGGAAGCCTGAGGTGGCCCAACGAGAATGCCGTAGTGAAACTGGTCAAAGGACGGAAGAAGCGGTATAGGGGCAAGAAGCAAGCTGCAGGGCGACGTGGAGAGCCACTGGAACTAACCCGAGAAATTTGTGGATCACGGATGAAGTTGGCTGCCTCCTGCAGGAAGGTGTCCCGCCGTGCAACAGTGGCATGGCGCAAGAGGAACATCCTCAGGAATTCGACCCAAGTAAAGTGTGGACTGCGGCATGAATTGGCTGCCGAAAGAAATAAGCCTAGCTGTGCATATGTGACACAGCGCAAGGGACTCAGACTCCAGGGAGATCAGTTAGAGTCACGCACAAGCCAT